ACCAACCTAGAGCCTTTCAAACTGCAATAGATTATCCAAAGTGTCGGGAAATGAAGCCCAGCCGCAAAAAAAAAAGAAACAGAAATGCTTTTTGAGCCTGTGGAACCACTTCCCCTCAGAGACATCCCCGCTGGATGGGAACATGATCAAAGAAGTGGAAAGCACAGAAGAATACACTGAAGCTTTTAATGAACACTGATCGATGTATTTATGAGTAGACAGAAATCATCATAGGATGGTTAAATATTGACTCAGCAAACACACATATTCTTCCAAATACTTTGAGTACTCTATCTAGGAAGTTAGGAAGTGATTTCCATGTTGGATTAGAGCCCACGCCTAGCTTAGGAAAAGTTCTGTCATGATCTCTTAAGCAATGGTGTCTTTCCCCATAAAGCTGAGGGCCAAGCTGCAGGAGCAAAATCGTCAAATTCAACAGCTGGGATCACCTTGTTAGAAAGTCTCTCAACGACATATTAACTACGGTAGTCTGTATTTCAGGCATAGGCTCTGGCATGAAATCATCAGCTTAAATTGGGTATTGGGTATAAAAATTCAAGTTTAAATCTGAGAATATGTGCTAAAAGTATGTATGATACAGATATTTAATGAAGTAGATTCATCGCTGTTATCTTTGTTGCTCTATAATGTTATATTAAAAAACTATCATGGTTCTGTGAGCCACATTGTTGTAGTAACTGCTCATAATACAGTGGCCTTTATGGCCTTTATTAATTAGTAGCTGGACAGGAAGTAGGGCAGAGAGAGGAGATGACATGCAGAAATGACCCAGAACTGGGAATTGTACCCCAGACATCCTTTTGCTCATTTTATTAATGGCTTCTTTATAAGGCTGATGGAAACCAACTGGATTTTATATGATATATATATATATCAGTGATATAAATAAAAAATAGTAATTAATTTAAATTAAGCAAAATTAAAAAAAATTTAAGTAATAGGCCAAAGTCTCTCACTTTTTATTATTTTGAGTTATGAGGTTCTCTCCATCAAGATCTTCCAACCAATTCCAAGCATCTCTAACCTACAAATGCTCAAAGATAGAGTTTAAAGAATATCTAATCTACAAATAAATGTTGTAATATTTAACCAAGTTCTTTCAATTGCTATTAAAGATCATTGTTGCTCTTCTGTTATTATTAGAACACAGTTGCATTATTATTATGAGTCTATGTCCTGATGTTGAAGAAAATTCTACAAATGGCTCCTGGTGAAATGGGCTATATCCATGAGCTCAGGTGTATTCAGTCTATTTCTATAATACATTTAAGTCAGGTTAAGCAATTCTGCAACAACAACCCCTTAATAGACCTTTGTCTTGGATTTAATAAATACATTCAGTTTCTTTAACATAAAGAAGAGTATAATCATTTTTGACAAAATGGTGTGTAAGTGGCTTCAATGACTCCAGAAGAAAACAGCATTAGCTCACATGTCGATTTTGTCACAGACTTGAGACATTTTCTCCAGCATGTGTTTATTAACTAAAGGTGTGAAGTCTTCCCTCCGAGGGGTTTTCACAGGTACCTGTAAGGACAACGCAGCAGACCCTACCCCCAACATCCTATCATCCTTCTTATCCTGTCTGTCCATTTTTTCTCCTCTTTCCCATGCCTCAGAGCACTCCAAGAGCAATATGCTTTTAATGAGACTTCCTCTGCTATGTCCTCAGGGTCCCTTTCACCTTCACGAAGTATTCCTCTCCTTTAAATCTTTCTCTCTACACAAATATATATATATATATATATATATATATATATATATATATATATATATATATATATATATATATATATATATATATATATATATATATATATATATATATATATATATATTTTTTTAATCCATTAAAGATTTTTCATTTTAATTCTACCAAAAGCATTCATGGTATGTGTGTGCTACCTCCAGAATTTAAAAGAAATGGTTTACTTTTTTATTTTTGCAAAATCACAAGTTATAACTTCTTTTCTTTGCCCATTGTTACTGTGTTTCTGCTGCAAAAAATAGAGTGTCCCACTTCATATTATAGATCTCCCATTTTAACAATATAGTGTCTCAAAAAAATGTTACACACGTCACCTCAATCAACTTCTTTCACGGCTTTCTCCAGTATGCTGATCATGTATTCGCCTTGCAGGTAGTTTGTAAGATGGGTCACCTGTGGCTGCCTGGAGAACAAGCTCGCTGGCAGCTTGTTGCTATTCACTGAGCGAGGTATAGATAGAGCTGTGCTTAGAGCTGCATCCATGTCAGCACGTCACGTTCAATGTGGTAATTTAACAGTACGCCTACACAGGTTGGAAGACCGATTTGTGCTCACCCCCAGATATATATCCGTGGTAAAATATCAAGGTGAAAGTCATCATTAGAATAGACCCAGTACAGTACAGTACAGGACAGTACAGCTCCCAACCAAAGTGTGAAAATAGATTAGCGTGTTGACGCCGATAATGGCCCACCACTAATTTTATATATATATATACACAGACAGACAGACAGACAGACAGACAGACAGACAGACAGACAGACAGACAGACAGACAGACAGACAGACAGACAGACAGACAGACAGACAGACAGACAGACAGACAGACAGACAGACAGACAGACAGACAGACAGACAGACAGACAGACAGACAGATAGATAGATAGATAGATAGATAGATAGATAGATAGATAGATAGATAGATACCTTCTTGGACAAAACAAACTCGTGTTCATAGTTTTTTTATATTTAACCCTTAATGTTTGATATCATAAAAACAACAAAAATCATAGACAATGTTGCTTGAAGTTGGAGAAGGAATATCCATCAAAAACAGACTGTCATTTTACAAAATGTTACAAGTTTGAAACTTTTTTGAACCTTTTGTTTAGAAAGAAGCCTGTGCCTAATAAGCACAGGTTTGTCTGAACATAAAACCACGCCATCAGCTTCCCATCTGCTGATCTTTACACTAAACAGATCTCAGCTGCAACCACTCTAAACAATAGCGACATAGCCCACAGATGAGTGCCACATGTGAGTGGGGGCCACAGTCACCACTTAAAGGATGTCTCTCCTCTTTGCCAAGTCTGCAGAGCACAAAGATTCAGGTTGGAACAAGTTAAGCTACAAAAGGTATTCATGGCTTTGAAGCCCTCCACAGCTGGTGACAATGTTCTCAACATGTCAGATAGAAGAAATCCCGCCGGTGGTTCAATCCACTGTAAATAGACGCCTATTGCCAATCATTGGGGTGTATATAGTGGAGCTCAAGGATCTTTTCTTTTATTCACAGTTATCAAATATGAATGGGAAGCGACAAAATTTTCTAGGCAGACAAACCCCACAGTCATACACACACAATGCAGAATATTTCAGATGTCAAGATATTGTAATTGATAAAAAAATATTAAAATGAACACAGTAAAAATGAATGCACAATTGTGAATGAGTCTTGTTATGAAAGCTTATTTTAACACTGATGATTTTTTTTCAAGGGTATATTGATGTTGAGGGTATATAAGGCTAATCTATGGATGCTACATCCCATCGGCATTAGTTTTTGTTTTTTGCTGACTGTGGGGAACTTCCAAAGTTGCTAGACACTGAATATAAAGACTTATGTCAAACATTCATCGAGCAAACATTTAATATAACCCCAGAGAACAAAAAGCAGGACAATAATCTCGACACCTGTGCTTATTCAAGTCCCTACAACATTTTGTTGAGAGGGTGTAGAGTAAAAAAAGATAAGAGGCTTTGGCACAGCAGACCCAAAATAGAGAAAGAAAACAAACACTGAGTTGGATTTAAGAAGCAGACAAAGGAACTGTACCAACAAAAAGTAGATAGTTTTTTAATTGATTTCAAGTATGGACTCAATCAAAGCTTTTATAAACTGTTTGGGTTTTATTCTCTATACCTTTTGTGGAGATGTTATCAATAGGGCAGCAACTAACAATTATTTTTTTAAATGATTAATTTGTCAATTATATTTTCAATTAATCAGATAATGATCGGACAGCAAAAGGTTCCTTAAAGAAGACTTTTAACCAAATTAAACCAGGTCAAACTAAATCTTTTCCACCTGAGGAATTCCAGATTGAGCATCTAAAAATGCTGACATTTTTTTAAATGTTTTTTTTGGTCTAAATGCCGCTAAAGGTGGGTTGGTCTTTCAGCTAATGACACATTTTACAGTCTCTATACTCCATTTAACAATTAATCGATAATTAAATTAGTTGATGATTATTCCAATAACCGATTAATCACGATTATTCTGATTATTTGTTTTTAGTCCCAATTATCAATGTGTAATCATAGTGTTTTTCCTTGGGGTTGCAGCAATCAGTCAGATAAAAATGGGATCTGGCAGATTTTCCAAAGGTTGGATCAGTTTTTTTTTTTCCTGTTTATTTAATTAATCTAAAACTAAAGAGCCACCCAACTTTTGGGCTAAAACACATGAGGCAAATAAGCTTATTTTGTTAAAGCAGCAGGAGAACAACATATTCTAGAAGTTTGATTTCAATTAGATTGTTCCTTAAACATTTAATTAGGCCCACCTTGACTAATTAACAAGTCGTATCAGTTTAAGAATAAACATGGCAGGATTAAACTGCTGCTTTAGCAAACCATTGCAAAATATAACTAATCTGGACATCTCTAGTATAAAGTAACCAAAGGATTAGTAATTTTTACCATTAAGATTAATGAGATTCTTCTTATGTGATCTGAATATTTATTTTTACAAAAAGAAATACTTGTAAATATTTTACAATTAATGGACTTTATGACTTATTGTACTAAATTTGTCTCAAGATAAGAGCTGTTCACCCCATAAAATTATATTCCCAATATGTATGAGGATTTATCATTCATTCAACTTAGCAACTTATGAAAATACACATAGTAAGTAACAAAAATGCAAAAACTGGGAGCATCAACAGTGCAATGTCGAGAAGGGTGTACCAAATGTGTTCAAAATTTACCTGGAGATCTCTTGTTTTGACGTAAGGGCAACATGTAGGACTGTCGTGGCAGGAGAGGTGAGGAAGGAAGAGACATCGACACTCCCTTGGATAATCCTAGCTTTGATAAATCCTCTTGTGCATAAGGATGACTACTGCCAGGCCCCTGAGGCGGTGGGTTTACCTCAGGTTGGAATCTCCTCTGAGCACCAAGGCTGCTAACATCACCTGTTAAGAAGAACAGAAATTACCTTATGCCAGATCAAAAAGCAATGACATCTTACAAACAGTCAGCATAAACAATATTTTGATCTCTGTACTGATCTTAATACATCTGCAAAGTAAAACAATCACTTCCCCTCCTTCTGCTGGGTCATTAAACACTTATTAAACACAAGGCACATTTCTAGATTGAGCAAAACAACTTCCTGCAGTTGCTTTGAGGGCAGTGTTGCTCAAGTATGCGGCGATCAAAGAGACAAAAACACAATGAAGAAGGCTGGTCACAATACTTCAGATTTTCTTGGTTCATTTCATGTGTTTGGCATCTCCAATATTAATTTAAAAAAATAAAGGAGAGATACTGTTTTTATTTTGTTTGAGCATGCTGTCCTCCGCAGAGCAAAAATGGTTAAACTAATTTTCCAGATGTAAAACCTCAAGTAGAGCATGTAACACATTAAGAAAAGAATCCTTCTCGATGATGTGAGGACCAGCGGTGATGATATGTCTACTACCCCTCTACTACTCTTGGCACCGTCAGACCACACTGACGTAATGTTTCTTTTTATCAGGGACTTGCAGCATTGACTTCTGTAAAAGCTAACACATCATCAGGCACACTTTCCTCACTTTACAGCTCTCCAAAAAACAAAAAAGAAAGGAAAGTTTTTGGAAAAAGTAAGAAGAAACTTAAACTAATTGATAGCCATTAAAAAGAACTTTTCCCCTGGCATAAACATAATGTTTTTAGCAGCTTAGAGGATGTGCACACAGGGGACCTTCAAAAACATGATGACTCCATTACAGTTGGTAAAATTATTTTGCCTCCAGACACTAAGCGCTGCAGTTCAAAACTGCCTGTGACGTTCAGCGTGATAATACTTTAAGTAAAATGTCTTACTATTCTGGAAAAGTTGTACCTTAGCCTGAACAGTAACTAAACCTCATGCTTTCAACCTGTATCATCAGCAGATATGTCCCTGGGAACAGGAATTAGAGTGGGCAACAGTGCACCAAGGTTCTGGCAAACACTTTAAAGTGGGTCCTCTGCATTTTTAAAAACCTGCACGTACATGTCAATAACAAGGTTCAATTACAGCACAGTAAATGCTTGTTATAATCCAACTAACATGAAGGAAAAGAAACAGTTGATGTGGTTACCACAAAACAGGCTTATACGGTTGGAAAGTGCACTTTCGCTCAGTTTTTCTAAAAATGTTTCGAAACCTATCCAGGCAACATTGTCAGTTATATTGGTCTGCATTCGAGCAGTTCTGTGTGACTGAGAATTTGCACAGTCAAATTGATGTGGTCCATAAACTCTCGCTCGTGAACAGATAAGCCTATTAATAAGTTAAGATGTGGATATGGTAGATAAATAGATATGATAAAATAGACCTGGACATGGGAAAAAAAAAACTGTTTAATGTGTGTTTAACACCAGAGGTCATGGGCCCGTGAGTATTTCCCATGCCTCTACGAAACATGAGAAGGACATCAAGTTAGTGGAAAACTGAGCCCGCCATTGAAACACAAATACTGTAAACTTTCCTTGATGACCCACTCTGGATGTTCCTGGGTGTAGTTTGGTATATGTCATGCAAAGAGGATGAGATTTTAGGTTTGTTTTGATTTTATCAAATATTTGCTCATAGCATTCCTCTTAAGATGTGGTTTCCCCCTCAAAGAGAAAGTAGTGGGAGGAAGATGACCACATTTTGCACAGCCAACTACCTTATATCCAATTTACGAAACTGTTTTGATTAAATCCTAAAAAACAAATATTACACAGGTTTCACATTAAAAGTTTCCTCTCTATAATCATTAAAGGTAGTGCTAAAAATAGCTTTAAGATGGAAAACTCAGTCAGAAAACCTACGGTAGCTCTGGAGAAGGTACAGAGATGCAAATCTCAGGTAGAAGAATCTTTTGGCAGGAATTAAATTGCCTTCACTAGGGCTGCTGGTATATATCACAGGCATATTATGGTATAATACAAATGCACATTGCAAACGACTGTCTGAACTGCAAGGATCTGGGTTAATCAATAAGAACCATGCATTCAAGCTTTCTGTGCGTATCACATAGAACGTTTTACAACATAAAGAGGTGGTACTGTAATCAAGCCATTAAGCAACTACAGACAAGATGTGTCCTCTCCAAAAGGATGGGCAGAAGCTGGGGTAATTATTATTATTTTTTTTAATAAGACATTTTTGCTAAAATTGAAATAATAAATGATTCTGTGAATAACAGCCTGATCTGTTTGCAATGATAATTATTGAAAGTGTTGTTGCTATAATATCATTTATTAGGATCGTATCATCAAATATACGTTTTCCTAATATCTTGCAACCCTAGTGCACTCCATAAAGTATTAATCAGGGAGTGGCAAAAAATTTCATTTTCTACTAAAAGTCCTAAAGGGAACGCAGGAGAGAAAACTTTATATGTAAGCATCCTGGCTTAAATATAAAACCCTATATGCCGCAGGAAAACGAACAGTGGACATCACCCTGCATAGTAAAAACAAGGTGGTAAAAGGATCATGCTGTGGGGATACTTTGCCACTACAGGAACATACAGATAGTCAGCATTAAAGGATTATAGATTAAGTTAATACAGAAGAAAGGTTTTAAAATTCTACAAAGCATTTGAGAGTTAGGATGAAAGTTCAGCTTCAAGCACGAAAAAAAAGAGGTAAAAAGAAACAGATTTCATTAAAGCTAATGCATGAGTTGGAACGGCCTAGCCAAAGTCCAAACCTCCAATTTGTGTTTAAACCTGAACATCCAATTTAACTGATGCCTTCCGCCCTTTCTGTCTATGACTGAGAAAGTTTAATAGTTTCAGGTTTTCTCTTTAAGATATGCAAAACTAGTCGAGATATATCTTAAATGACATGCAGCTGTAAACACAGCACAGATAATTCCTTTTCCAGATTCTATTTGTAGACACAATTTTTCATACACTACTGCATTATGTAGCAATTCATTTAGGTCTAAAACCATTCTGAATAAATTACATTTGTGGTTGTAATATAATTACATATAAATAGCTTAAGAGGGAAATAATGCCCCAGTAAGGCAGACTACATTAGTTTTAATTTTACTGTTTTCTTTCCAGATTTGGAGCCCAGTTTTACAGATAATCATTTCTTAATATCTGTTAGAAGGTTGTTTTTCTGTTGATACTGCATATATGTTCCCTGAAGCTTGTATTTTTGCCAGCTGAGGTATAAATGACTTTACCTTCTCATAGGGTATTAAAAAATGATTGAGCATATCAATAATATGCTGAGTCACGACTACAGCTCAGTATATTAATCTATTCTCCAGAATTAAAGTTGTTCACTCATCACTGCCACAAATGAAATGGATAAATTATAAACCTCTAGACAAGATGAATTACCTCACTAGTAAAGGAGACCATGCATCAACAGACCAAGCCAAATCAGATCTGCAGATGTGGTGAGCCACATTTATGACATTTTGGTTACACACAAGTTCTGGCTTATTTCTGAAACGTAATCACTTAAGGCTCTAATGCAAAGGAGGCATGCTCCAATTAGCACCCTCCTGTTTTCTGCACTCCTCCACCTCACCAGCATGGACACAAAGCTGTCTTGTGTCTTAAAAGCTCCCAAACAAAGAAGAATGCTAGAAACAGGTAACAGAAATGTCCAATGACACCTCTGCATAACCCGACATAAAAAAGGGCTTACAATAAAATCTGTAGTTACCCTGACCTGACTGGAAGGATCAGCTCAGACAAAATGCAAGACTTTGTATAGAGTATCGCTCTAGAGTCTATAAAGTTTTAACATTGTCAAAACTTTGATTCTGAAAGAATAATAATACTTTAACTCAACTGCATTTTTGGATGGAAATCCAAATGAAATTTTTTAAATAAGTAAAATAACCAATGACAAACCCCATCACAACACTTTGCATCAGTCTTTTAGTGCAATTTGCTAACTTTCCTCCTTAGAACTAACTGATAAAGGGAAATTTCAAAATATGTTATTTGAATGTATTTAATAGACAAGTTACCAACATTAGTCCAATTTCCCTCAGGAACCTTATTTATTGAAATTATTTCCTTAAAAACCAACCTAAAGTGCAGCAAGTCTTTCTTTTTCATGTTATCCAACTCAATACTTTGCCCCTTGCTGTTCAATCATTAAAACATCTAACAAATACTCAGTGGATATTAGGATAAAAGGCTACGTTGAAGAGGGCATATTTTAACTTAAAAAAAGGACATACACATCCTGCAGCAGGTTCTTAATACCAGATTGTGCCGATACAGGTTGCTGTCATGCTGCATGCTAAACGGATTAAGATGCAATTTTGGTAGTTGGTTCTGAAAACATGAGGAGCCACATAAAAGCTGGTAATCGAAGTGCTGGTGGATATGCAGCGGAGTGCTATGGTGACTGAGCTGCCATCTGACCGACACTATAATACACAGACGGACACAGGGGCAGAAACTCGCCAATGCTATTTCAGTTACTTTCCAGAGTCCTCAACAAGGCAAGGCCTGCAATTTCAGCCCCTTCTGTGGTCGAGGACATCTGCTCTTTCTAATTATACGGCACTGGCCCTGGATGATGTAAAAATGATTACAGTCCCTTACATGCTCATTCCTCCTCATCAAATGAAAGGTCCAGAGCCCACAAGGACATACCCACCCTGTAAAACGGCTCAATATTATTTCAAGACATTGATTTACAATGGTTTGCCATTGGAGAATAAATCAATTATTTTCAGTCTCTAAAGAAAATACTCGTACGACTTGCACTTTTAACATTTTCTCAAGCTACTATGAAAAGCATGAGTTTATTACTAGTTTATGGGATAAGAGAAAGCATTTTTGTGAAGTGGAAGGTAGATGATACATGGTTTAAACATTGCTTTATAAATAAACATTCTCATATTTAGCCTTACTGAGTAGAAACACATTTTGCTGTAAGTAAAGCTGCAATGTTTAAGGATAAGTTGCCA